GAAGTAATTTCCAGCGCAGAACTCGAGCTCGAGATTATAACTGTGCCAAAATATTCAGGTTTTTCGCGGTTAAGTACACGAAAAACGGTTTTAATGGCCACTTTTGTTTGCTCTATGCTATTTAGTGGTACTTTACGATTTCTCCTTCAGAAACTATGGTAATTGGAAGATAACGTAATGAGTTAAAAAGCACATGCTTGGTTTGGTTAAAGTTAAAGTGGCAAGTAAGGGAAAAAAGGCAAATATGTGGCACCATTCGCGAGTGCATTTTGAAGGATAATAATAGTACTAGAAAAATACCTGAAATAACTCCAATAGATTTTTATTATTTCATCAGAAAATCTGCTTCTTTTAGCTTCTTATTTCGCTTCATTTTTATTTTCTGAGCCTATATAGGTCAATAGCACGTTGAATAGCTTACAATGTTGCTTTCAAAATGAGCCCTACCTCTAACTAAAAAAAATATAATTTTACCTGAAAATTCAATTAGTAAAAAAGAGACTCTTACGTTACAAATAGTTTTCCACCAAAAACACATGGATAATAAGAGTATAGGAAACTGCTTTATTTTATTCTGAAAGTAGGTCGAAAATGCTCGAAGAAAACCAGATTCCTCCAATTTTTAGCCTGGTGGATTTCGCGGCAAAAAAAACTTTTTGATATTTTGGACCAAGAAAGTTAACTGATTATTTTGTCGTATACTTTTTTTTTTTATTAACTTCAAAATACTGCAAGCCAATCGAAGAGAAGAAAGTATAAGGCAAAAAATGGCGGTCCTTAAATATAAACAAACCTAATTTTATGTTGTGCTTTTTTAATTTTCATTAAATTAAAAATATCTCAGAATTAAGTGAATTTTCATGTTTGAGAGAAGGAGATTCGTGTCAATATTTATATTGTGTGAAACCTCNTAAGATAAGAAATTTTGTAAAATTGCAATCAGGAATTTATGAATGAATTCTTGAACTAATCTTTGAAATAACATGAACTCATGCATGTGTGTACATATGTATGTACATACACAGGCCCGTCGAGAGGGAGGGGGAAATGGGGTGAATCCCCCGGGTCCGAGCTTCTTAAGGGGCCCGAAGTATCAGGACCATAACTTGCTATTATTTTTTTTTTTTTTTACAATGTAATTGCTCCTTCGTTCTATGCAATAAGAGCGTGAATTTAGTAGACTTGCGATTTGAGATGTAATCCAAAGAGATTAAAAACATGATAATTATGAATACGGATTTGGAACTTTCTATTACTGTGCAGCTGTAGGTCTTTTCAGAAGTAATTTCCAGCGCAGAACTCGAGCTCGAGATTATAACTGTGCCAAAATATTCAGGTTTTTCGCGGTTAAGTACACGAAAAACGGTTTTAATGGCCACTTTTGTTTGCTCTATGCTATTTAGTGGTACTTTACGATTTCTCCTTCAGAAACTATGGTAATTGGAAGATAACGTAATGAGTTAAAAAGCACATGCTTGGTTTGGTTAAAGTTAAAGTGGCAAGTAAGGGAAAAAAGGCAAATATGTGGCACCATTCGCGAGTGCATTTTGAAGGATAATAATAGTACTAGAAAAATACCTGAAATAACTCCAATAGATTTTTATTATTTCATCAGAAAATCTGCTTCTTTTAGCTTCTTATTTCGCTTCATTTTTATTTTCTGAGCCTATATAGGTCAATAGCACGTTGAATAGCTTACAATGTTGCTTTCAAAATGAGCCCTACCTCTAACTAAAAAAAATATAATTTTACCTGAAAATTCAATTAGTAAAAAAGAGACTCTTACGTTACAAATAGTTTTCCACCAAAAACACATGGATAATAAGAGTATAGGAAACTGCTTTATTTTATTCTGAAAGTAGGTCGAAAATGCTCGAAGAAAACCAGATTCCTCCAATTTTTAGCCTGGTGGATTTCGCGGCAAAAAAAAACTTTTTGAAATTTTGGACCAAGAAAGTTAACTGATTATTTTGTCGTATACTTTTTTTTTTATTAACTTCAAAATACTGCAAGCCAATCGAAGAGAAGAAAGTATAAGGCAAAAAATAGCGGTCCTTAAATATAAACAACCCTAATTTTATGTTGTGCTTTTTTAATTTTCATTAAATTAAAAATATCTCAGAATTAAGTGAATTTTCATGTTTGAGAGAAGGAGATTCGTGTCAATATTAATATTGTGTGAAACCTCCGAATATTTATAGCCCAAATATAATCAAAAATCTGCGAAACCTGAGATAAAAATTGTTCCCGTTGGTTTCCTTTTCGGCGATTTGGGCCATATGCTTTTAAATTAATACAACTTATATATGTACTAGTTAACCCGAATGACATTAAAACGCCGAAAATTGTAATTCAAAAACCTGAAACCGATTTCAAATATTAGCCAGAGTTATAGCAACCGGAGTGCCATATTTCATCAATATCCGTACAACTGCGCCTGAGTGAAGAGAGGTCGCGCATAGTGTCCCTGTACCGATAAAAAAGTTCTAAGTTCAAAAAATAAAATTTCAACTCACATCTATAGCCTAAAGTCTTTACTTCGTTCTCTCATATTTGAAATTCGAAAGAACGTTGCAAATATAATGAGCTTCACAAAAAATTTCCTCTTGTATAATATACATACATACATACATATATACTTAGTTAGATCAGTATGTCATATATCAGTAGGTAGATATTTTTCATCCATAGTGTTACCATATGTATGATGAGTACTTGCATCCTATTTATGTCAAGAATCCATGATTCTATCTAAGCGAATTATACGATTTTGTAGAACCAGTCTTTTGTTACTGAGGAACGCCTTCAAAAAGCAGTTCAGACACCAAACTTATCTTAATGGCGTTGTTAGCTAACAAATTGTGACCAGTTATGAGACCCACCATAAGTCTGCAGTCGTTCCTTGGCATTTTATGTACAAGTTTTGTTAATGATATTGCGTCTATATTAGCGTGGGCCGAAAATCCGATTTTTTTTTAGAATTTTGATTGGTAATAACAAAAATATGGTTCCTTATGCTCTAAAAAATATCTTTGTGAAGTGTGAAAATTTTTGGTCAATATCCTAGGCTCACCCATGTCCATCAAAGTTCAAGTACTAAAAAAAAAATTTCTTACCTAACTTCGATTCTCTACAAAAAAAGGTTCATATACCAAATTATGTAGGACTAATACTTTAGAAGATTATTGCAATTTTAGTAAAAAAATGTATTAATTAATTTATTAATTAATTTTTATTTTTTGAGCATATTGAACTTTGATGGACTTGCGCGAGCCTAGGATATTGACCAAAAAATTCCAAATTTCACACAGATTTTTTTTAAAGATTATGAACCATATTTTTGCTGTTACCAATCAAAATTCTAAAAAATCGGATTTACGGATAAGTGAACACTCCAAAAATTGGCGTGATCGGTTTATTTTAAAGCCAACCTTCCATAAAAACCTAACTTCAAAATTGCCTTAAAAGTGCCTTAAATGCCATCATTAGTATATGAGGGTAAGAATAAAATCCAAGGATGACATGATATGAAACTCTCTCATTTTGCTTCCAAGAATCTAACTTAAACTCGTTTTCTGACTTGGCAGCAATAAAAATGAACCTTTTCACAGCGCTCTCACGAGAAAAAGAGTTTCGTATCATGTCATCCTTGATAAAAACTGCAGTTTACCGCAGCTTTCATTCCTGGCAGATCGCGAGTACGCACAAATCTATCCGCAAGGGCTGGAAGATTACCGTCTCTCAGATTGGAAATTGAACTGCGTATACTTGTGGCGTTCAAAGCTTGTTCACGGCAAAGTAAGAAATCTTAGCTGACGTTTTGCCGTTTGGTGTGTTGCGAGTGGAAACAATAACAAGCTTTGCATATTTTTGTTGTTGGCTCGGTAATTCAGGTTAATCTGTTTTTACCATTGCTCTTCTTCTTTTTAACCGACTTCCAAAAAGGAGGAGGTTATCAGTTCGTCGGAATATTTTATTTTTTATTTTTATTTTTTTTTTATGTATGTTACCGCATAACTTTGGACCACGTCAACCGATTTCGATAATTCTTTTTGAATCGGAAAGGTAGTGTCTCAGAGGTGGTCCCATACTAATCTGGTTGAGATCCGATCAGTGGATCATGAGATATATATATATATTTATATATTTTTTATATGGGAGGTGAAGTGGGTTTTTTTTTTTGCTAAAAATTACTTGTTTGATTTTGGAGTTTCCTTCAGAAGAGCGAAGGAGTTTTACCTTTGCTTGAGAGGTCCGGAGACCATTTTCATTAATAAATTGTGAACTTCTGTCGGTTTGCAACTTTTTACATCAGCAGAGAAACAAAAGATCTTCACACAATAGAGTATTTACTAACTTATAACTAACTGCCTAACTGTATAACTAAGTGCACAACAACACCTCAAATTTTAGTGAAAAAAGAGAAATCAATAAATGAAACACAACTATTCGCGATGGGCAGTAGTCGGATACTGACGCGCAATTCTGGTTTTCATTTTATTTTCGAATCCAGCGAGTCGCTTTAATAAACACTATAATGAACAAACTCGAAAAATGTGATTTTATAGATATTTTTTTGTTTTGCATCTAATCAAGTATTTTTTTCGCAGTAGATTTTAATAGTCGTTGGAAGAGTCAAGACAAGACAGGAATTGCCTTCAAACCATCTTTTAATCGGCGAAAAATCTTCTAAATGCTGGCTGGCAAGTACGAAGCTGGTTGATTTTAAATCCGATCAACTTTCGTTGCTTAAATAGGAACCATTTTTTAATTTTAGTGTCGCTTGAAAGGAAATCACTCAACCAGTTGGTGTGGGTATAGCAAAGTTAGTTAGGAAAGTGTTTCAACTGATTAAACGATAAATCAGTGCGTGTATAGGGCGCTTTAGACATATCGAAATCTATTGCATATACATATATGTATACATATGTGTCTTCTTTAAACAAAAACGCATAAGCAACTTGTATTTTCTAAAACTTAATTAAAGCATTGTTCTAAACAATATTCGTTGAGTAATTAAATATTCTCGACACACTACTGAATCTCATCTCTAACTGCGTTGAATTGCTGGACTAACCGCCACTCCTTTGCGATGCGATATGATTTGCACCAATCTGTAGATAATTACAATACAGAGTCATTACAGTTTCAATACAAAGACTAGGAGGTTAAACTTACAAAATAAGCAAAAATGCTATGAAATATAGCACAGCGCTGATGATGTTGAACATGCCCGGATAGAAGGCGAACGTCGCATTGTAAACGCTGGTGTAGAGTGGTGCTGAGCCTAGTGGAGTGATTGTCTGCAGAGCTGTCGTCACAGAGAAAACTTTGCCGGTTTCATTCGTCGGTGTCACAAAGGAGAGAATGGTCAACAACATCGGAGTAATGATGGTTGAAATGAAGCCCAGCGCGGTAGCCAAATACATTTCCCAGAATTGTTGCGCCGCAGCGCGCACAGTGCTCTCACAAACGGCAGAGAGCAGAGACATAATAGCTATGGTCTCGATAGAAAGTTGCATGTGCTGAAATATTTTGAATGAAAATATTGATGACACGTTTGTTGGATTCCAATTTGATGCAGTTTCAGCACATTTGTATATACATACCTTTCGAAAAGTGACAATTGCAAAAGTGCCACCAGCAATTTGAATAGCAGCGCTAATAGAGTTGTAATCACTATACTGGCTAACAGTAGTACTGAATTTGGCGCGCAGAAATAAGTAGAAGACATTACTCTCGCCAGCTGAAATAGAAATTGTTTGACTTTAGGATACACATACAAAAAGAATAATAGAATAGAGCAAGTTAAAAATTCTCCTAATTGATGACGCAAACTAAGTTCCATCGATAGTATTCATAACGCCATATTACATAAAAATATGTATGTATGTATGTACAAATTAACCTCAAACATAAATAGTAATTCTTGCGATGAGTATTTTATGTGTCCAATCTCTTCCAGAACTGGGTTTGTCTACCACGAAAGAACACTAACCTTTGACCTTAGCTTCGCTGTAATCGTAACAAAAAATGCTTTATTAACCGACTTCCAAAAAAGGAGGAGGTTATCAGTTCGTCGGAATCTTTTTTTTTTTTTTTTTTTTTAATTTTATTTTTTTTTATGTATGTTACCGCATAACTTTGCACCACGTCAACCGATTTCAATAACTCTTTTTGCAACGGAAAGGTAGTGTCTCAGAGATGGTTTAGATCCGATCATTGGATCATGAAATATATAGATATATATATTTTTTTTTTAAGTCGGTTTTTTTTTTGCTAAAAATTATTTTACTTACACGTTGTGAAATTGGAAATAACCAAAGCAATCATCGTAAGCCAAATGAAGGTGCGCATATGATTGGGGCGCTTGGTAGTGCAGGTGCGCACCAAATCAATGAGATGTGTAATACTGAAGAACTGGCTTAGCTTGTACTGCAAGTGAAGATGACGACAATCAATTAGGATCGCTACAATTTTACAATTTTTTGCACGCTTTGCTTACTCACCATCAAAGTAGTGTGCTCCACTTTTAAACTCTCCTCATTCACAAAGATTATGTAGACCATAGCTAAGAGCGCCGATAGCGCTGAAATCGCAAATACAACTTGCATACTTGTCTTGGCGAAGAGTGCACCGCCCGCCAATGTACCGGCAACAGTGCCAAGGCCAATTGCGGCATCAGCTAAAACCATTCTGTGTTCGGAAATTAATTTATTATAAAAAAATATAAAATATGTAATGCCGAATTTCCACTAGGCATTGAAATGACAAAAAATGTATGCCATTGAACTTAATGACTATTTTTTTTTTTAATGTAATGACACGAGTATTTTTCAATGCCCGACTTTATCATTTGTCATATTCGCCATTTAGTGCCTAGTAGAGATCCAGCATAAGGTGAATTTTCGTGAAGTAACTCACCTTAAGCCCTTAAATTGTGGTGATGCCACATCTGCTATGTAACAATAACTGACAATCGAGAAAGCGCATGAGGATCCAGTGACTGCCGCCGGTATATTCCCAATAACGTATAGCCAAGGATTTGTGGGAGAATAAGCGGATACCATAGACAAAATAAAGTTGACAATGTAACCAAGTGCAATACCTACAATAGAAATTGATATATGTTAATGCTTAACGCGATAAATTTAGCATGTGTGTATGTCTGTACATTAGGACGGTCCAAGAACAGTAAAGTCGGAATTGTAATTCTCTCAACCCCTAGGATTGTTCGATATCGAAAAAAGTATATTGTGGGTTTTATTTTGAAATCAAAAAATATTTAGAGGTCGCTCAAAGCGCTGAAAGTTTTCCATATATTTTTATTTGGGAAAAAAGCAACTTTTCGTAGAAATGGTATAGAATTCTTGAAAATAAATAAATTCTCTTGTTCTCCTCAGAAGACTTTCAATAATAGTACCCAATTGTTTATTTAATCACTTTTAAAATACTAACGATTTTTTATTATGTGGGTTTATGGCGGACCTACATATAGATTATAATTGCGATGGAAAAAATGCTAAATAAACAATTGAGTATTATTATTGGGAATCTCCCGCAGATAAGCGGAGTTTTCCGATAGAAAAATATTGATTTTTAAGAATTCTCTAAATATTTTTTGATTTCAAAATAAAAAATAGGGGTATATTTTTTTCGGTATACAACAAACCTAGGGTTTGAGAGCATAGAAAATTCCGACTTTACTTTTTCACATGCAGTTTTGGACCACCACCTTAATGGAATGTTGTTTAGGCACATTACATATTTGTATACCCATTACCCATTAGTGCAATTAAGAGTACCGGGCGGCGTCCAAAACGATCTGACCATGAGCCAATGAAGAGCGCCAATATTGCGGGTACAATACTCGAGACCAAAGAATTGGCTAATATTATATGGGAAACGTAGGGCTGTACTCGTTTTTCGATGTCCTGAAAAATATGGAAATTTATTATAGAATAAATAAGGAAGTTCATGCGGAATAGTATTTATAAAAAGGTATTACACATTTCTGAGAATCGCCGAACAGTATTCTATTATGGGAAAAAGGACAAAAGTAAGTAGCTCCAGAACGAGAAAATATAACGAAATAATGTAACGGTGTTTTAAATATTCGGCGATGGAGAATTCATGAAAAATAGTCTCGTTGTTTGGCGAAAGTAAAGCTGTATGTAGCTACCTTAAGATTCTCCTAGAAATTTTATTTTGAAAAAACTTTTATGACAGATTTTTGAATCAGCGTGGAAATCTGAAATAAATTCCTCGGACCCAGGGAAGTTACATATATTCCTGGCATTCGTGAGGGTAACTCGAGACAGATAGATTAAACATATTTTATTATAACTTATAAACATATTTTGGTGGTGTTGTCGCAATTTCTCATTAGGGATATTCATCTAAATGCGTAAATGCCTCGCAACCTCGTACATAAACCTGTTTTCCATACAAAATTGGTATGTTTACGAGGTATGGTACGTAGTTATGAGGCATTTTCGCGTTTATATTAATACCCCAATTGTATTATCAGTGGTAGCAATACTACCTATTTATTATTGGAAAATGCTCATCAATTACAAATTTGACAATGGCGACATTTCGTTAGCCAGTTTACACCTTGTGTGTGGATATATATATATATGCATGCATGGTACATACCTATAAATGAATTTGTAAGATTTCGGTTTTACCACTTCTATTTTACTTGATCTGTATGTATGTAAAATTTATTGTTTCGATAAAATTTTGCTAAAAAATTTTTGATGAACTTCCCGATGACCTAGATAAATTAATCAGCTAGGTGGCGCAGGAATCGAAATAAAAAAAACCGTATTTATAGTCGGATTTGGTTCATATTTAGAACATAAATATATTTAATACATGGAAATAAATAACTGCACAAAAAATTTTGCCGATAGGTAGCGCGAGTGTCAAAATATTCCCGAAACCTACATTTATGGTCTAATTCAGTTCGTATTTGGAAAGCTTGTTTTAAAAATATTTTTTTACTATTAACTTATTTATTTTTATCATTCAAAATATATGTGGTTGTATGGATGTTTGTATTATATAGTTTTCTGTAAGTAAACTTTCAAAGTACATACTCGTAGGTGGGGTAAGTGCCAAATTTGTTCTAACCATATGGCGTCTGGGCCGGTCTAATGTATGTCACTACCCGCCTCTTTTTTTACCACGTGTTTACCAAATATTAATTTTAAATTTCGCACATATGTATAGATGTTTATTGTGTTATGGTCGAGTATAATACATTAATATTCATAGATAACAAATTTATCGAGGGTGAACCCCCAGTTAGAATTGCTTAATCTAAAAAAAGCAGATACGAAAACTAGAAAAACCCGCCAATACTAGTTTCAATTCAAAATGACCTAATTGAAGTTTTTCCGAAAATGACTTTTTTATTTTATCTCAGATTGCGGTTACTTTTTACATTATTTCAATAATAGTTTTGCTAACAGCTTTCAAATTTGTCATTCAGGGCGTTGTTATAACTTGCATGGAATATAAACTATAAGCAGATAGTTTGCTGCACAATTTGAGTAATGGACAATTATTTGCTAGAATGGGATATTGTTTTTTTTTTTTTGTATCGTTATCGCTTCATTTCAATAGTATTATCGCTTTAGAATTTGTTATTCAAATCGATGAGTGAAACGTAAAAATCGTTATTGAAACCAAGTATTTATGTATTATCTTATGGTTATCGAAACAAAAACTTAATCTTCACTTTACAGTTAACACCAGAGCTAAATTTCAGACTACCAAACCGAAAGATGCAAAAGGCCCTGTATGAACCTTTTTTTAATTACGGCCGTTTTCAGAGTGACGAGTTAACTCTCATTCGGCAGTTAACTACAGGTTTTCAGTACAAAATTTTAAAGTTAACTGCCGAATTTGAGTTAACCCTCCAAAATTTCAGAGACGATATACCCTGCAAACCAAAGTTCCCGAAATCTTAACGAAATCTTTAGGAGTATCTGGTTTCTGTAACGATTTTTTTCCGAATCTTCAAAGAAAATTATATGAAGTGGTTGACACGAACTCGTAAAGAAATTTCTGTACGAAAAATAAAGAAAATACTGAAAAAAGTCTGCAAGAAATTCTTCACATAGCAGCATTATTTTCATTTCTTTACCGATTTTCTTCCGAAATTTCGTAAAAGAATGGAAGTGTGCGTAATTTATTTCATTTTAGAAAATTCTGCAAAAAATCGGATGGGATCTTTCCGAATTCTTTAAAAATTCTTTACGATTCAGAATACTCTGAAAAAATGGTTTGCAGGGATTATTTTCATTTCTTCACCGATTTTCTTCCGAAATTTCGTAAAAGAATGGAAGTGTGCGTAATTTATTTCATTTTAGAAAATTCGGAAAAAAATCGGATGGGATCTTTCCGAATTCTTTAAAAATTCTTTACGATTCAGAATACTCTGAAAAAATGGTTTGCAGGGTAATTGTACATACACATACATATGTATGTTTATAATTGACTTCAATTACTCACCGAATTTGTTGTTGCATTTGCAATGCCCAACATTGGTTGACAGTCTTCTTCAGTGTAATCAAAAATCACTTTACAGCTCTGATAAAGTAATTGATTAGTAAATACAACGGCTAGATGTAAAAAATAAGTGTGTGAAATGTTATTTTTAAATACTCTTATTACGATGAACCGGCAAAGTCGAATGACCTACATGGCAGAGTGGTGCTAAAATTCAGAATAAATATTGGTGGTTCTAATATAAAAACGCGTCTCAAAGGATTTAACCGCTGTCTTTTGGCTGAGTCGTCTACAAAAGCCTGGCCGCAATTTACTTCGTCAACGTTGACTGAATTTTGTATATCAGCAGGATGGCTTGGTGTGTTTGTGATGTTTTCCGCATCGTACACATTGTTTTCGAAACTGTTTCCATTCATTTTCTGTTCGTTAATTATGCTACACTCGATTTATTTACATAGATATGTTTTACACTTTCTTCAATATTCTATTTATACGACTTTATAGTTGTTCGGTTTAATGGCAGAATAAAAAAATGCGGCACAATCGACTGTCATTGACAGTCCTCTCTCTGTCCAACTAACTTTGATAACAGCACCCACATAATTTATATATTGCAATATTTTATGGCCGGCGTGCAAGCGAACGGCGTGGCGTGCAAGTGCGCGGGTGATTCCCTTGCGAGTAAGTTAAGCTAAGTTAAGTATGTATATACGTAGCAGAAGTTTGATAAGGAATTTGTAATGCATGTATCACCCAAAAGTTGAAACGTACTGACAACGAATGGTCAAAAGCAAAGATAAGATAAACACAGCAAAATCGCATCGAAAGTTTTTAAAAAATTCACATCTAAAAATGAGTTTGGATCTCGGCTAGAGGTACGGTTTTGACATGTAAACTTACTGACGCATGACACCCAGAAAAGCTGCTAAACAAACAACATCATCTCCTCTACAAACATCGACGCCGATTAGCGAACCCGGATAAGCCAACAGCTCATCAGCGACTAGACTGGCTAGGAGAACATCATTGAACAGTGTTTAGGCGACTGATAACACCTAGCGCCTAAAGGTATGCTGCACCCTAAGCAACTCGTTTCAAACCGGATATAAAGAACGTTTTGTATATGCAAGCATCTCATATTAGAAATTATTTACGCACGTGCACTTCTCAACTGCCGCGGAGCAAAACCTACTAAAGTAGTTACATAATTGCTGATATCCCAAATCATGCTCAACAAACTCGCTTGACGCATGCAGCCAAAACCAAAGCGATACAAGCTGTCGGGGGTTCTATATGGCTTTTAGCATACAGAGGTGGTCACTGTGCATCCTACCCACATTTTTGAACTTAAATATATAACCGATGCTCCTCCAGAGTTTTCCAAACGGCAGCACTCTTCATGACTTACTACCATGAAGAGGTGAAAACTGGCTCCAACTAGGGCGTCCAAAATTTTGTAAAATATAGTACACTTCCAATATATATAGTATTTTATGTAAGAGAACAAAGTAAGTTAAAATCTTTTTTCTCCAATATATTTATTTTCATTTTGGCAGTTTTTCACAATTCCTTGTTAACCACGAAAGTGTTGTATGCCTTTATCACAATCAATATTTAAATTAATATAAATCAAAAGTTCATTTTTTGTTAGTGAGGTAATCGTTTTGCTGCTCTCATCTCGCCATTTCACATCCATAACAATAACAACTAAAAAGTACGGGAATACAAAAAAGCATTTTTCCTGTAAAAAAGTCAAAAATTTTCCTTTCAAATTACAAAAAAAAAAGAAGCCGAACAAATGGAAGCAATAAATTAAAAGTTGATTGCTAGCCAGGAACATTAAATCGCATACGAAACGGTAATATTTACGGTAATACTTTAATATTTTTCGCTATCAAATTGACAACGTACAATTTTTGTTTACTTTTGTGTAACAGCTGATCGCTTGACACTCTCGGGTAAAATCTTGCAACTTCATTCTCTACACAACTCTCCAAAAATCGCTCTCATTTACAGGATTTTGGAGAACGAGAACATTTTTACTTTAACCTTGTGCCAAAATCTGTAAGTTCATGGAATACTCATAAGTTCATTATGGGATTTCCAGCTAAATACGATTTTTTGTTTTTTTTTTTTTGCACCTTAGTCTTTGATTGTAAAGTAAGAATGGAGATTTGAGTGAAAAGTTAGCTTGATCCATACATGTAATAAGAACACGATCTAGCGAACAGAAGGGGACGCAAACCGTTACTTTAGTTTCGTTGATTTTTACAGTTCTCGCAAGTATTTAAAACACTTTTCCTATCGAAAAATGCAATATTAAGATAATTGACTAATCTAACATTCTCTTTTATCCTCCCATTCGGCTACGCTACTTTTTTTACTACGGCATCACAAGTATAGTGTGCGAAAATAATTGGTCGTCTAAGGGCCGTTTTCTGAAGTTACCTTTAACTTTAACGCTCACTTTTTTATTTAAAGGTTGGATTAAAAAGAAAGCTATGTCTTAAGTTAAGTATTTCTATTATCGGTGTTTGACGTATGTATGTATGTTTCTTGGTTGTAAACCAATTTAAAGCGCTTTACTTTAGACACAATCACAAATTTTAATGCAGACTTTAAATATAAAGTGAGCTTTAAAGTCGTAGGTTACTTGAGAAAACGGCCCGAAATCTTTTAGCACACAAGCTCTATTCACAGTCGAGGCTAATGTTAGCGCTACTTATAGTCGTGATTTTGCTCGTTAATTGTATATATAGTCACACGCTGTACCAACTGGCTGTGTCTCATTCACGCATTAGCTTTATTTATGTATTAGAAAATCATTCGCTGAACAAATTTTAAGAAGTACGTACTACCACTCCATAGATCCTGGGTTCAATCCCTGATGTGAGCAACATCTAAATTTTTTTCATACGAGGGCAGGGACTTATTACACGGACTTTTTAAATAAAATAATAGTCCACCGCCTCAATAGAATCTCTCGATGTTTTCAAAATAAAAGGGCCGCTTCTTCCGGCGGTTTGAAAACAGCTGCTGAATGAGCGTACAATTCGTAGCCTATTTCGAGCAATTTTTCCATTGCGACTGCATACGTTTTTACCCGTGCATTGCTTTGGTGGGAGAGCATCGCTTTGACTATGCCATGAGCTCTGGTGCATGGTGCTGGATCCCCATTTTCGTCCCTGCTTACGAAACTGTGAAAAATCTCGTCCACGGCACCTTTCCAAGGATAGCTTTTTTAAGGTCCAAATGTACATTAAAACGTAATGAATATGCTTAGTTGAAATGCCAGAAGCTTCAGCCACCTCAACCAAGCCCAAGATAACTTTACACATTTTATCGGCAATTTCTGGCGTGACGACTTCATTAGGGCCACCTGAGCGCCGTACTGGTAAAACCACAACTTAATTCTGTCAATCAATTCTCAAAACATTGAAATTTCGATTATAATTTATCAAGCGTTTTGTTGGTTTCGGTGATGGTTTTTTTTACATGAAAAATGACGCTTGATGAGCATACAAAAATCACCTTTTTCCCTTTTCGTCAAAATTAACTATTTATGTACGTAGCGTGCTCAAAATTTGGTAGTAGTCTACTAAACGATTGTAGTTAACGGGTGCAGTGTTGCATTTAAAGATGCTATGCGGGAGGATACAAAAAATCGCTGGCATATCAAACTGCCATAGTATTAAGAAAATATCCGCTATTTCAAGACGTTTCGACTTTGGTCAAAAAAAAAGAGAAGTTCGGTCGTTTTCTATTTATAAGTAGCTAAATTATTAGGATATTCATTTGCTTAGGACCCTTAAGTAGCATTCGAATGATTTAAACATTTTCCTTCTACAGGTGTTAGAGGAATTTTTACTTTTGGTATCACATTTTTGTACACAAAAGTTCCGAAAAACAGTCCTATATGTAAGCATTATTTATTTATTTATTTATTTATTATAAATATACATATAAACTAAGTTTGTCATTTCTCTTTCACAATTTTTTTCGTACATTTATGTATATGTTTGTACATATGTACCTCGAATTCGAATACTCATTGATTATTTTGATTCTTCGTCGGACTTCGTCGGAAACAACGTTTGGCATCTCAGGGAACATAAAAGCAGCTATAAAATAATTAAATAAATTATATTCGAAGTTGTTGTTTATATGTATGCAAGTCAATTGCGGGCTAAAGCCTACCACTACAAAAGCTTCCTTTTGTCACACCTTGTTTGCGTTCGATTTGGTACGATTGGGCAGCGCCTATGTAATTGTGCTCCAAATCCAATAGAACGTGGTTTAATAGGATTAAATATTTTCAATTAATACGAATACTTTACAGCGGCGTATTCGTTTGTGGGCCTGACATTCCGTTAATGCTTATAGATTATGTCATTATGTAAGCACAAATCAATAGGCAATAATACCAAAAACCAAAAGTAGATCAAAATGAAATGCTTCAAATGTAATTAGACATACATACATACGGGCAATTCTAAAAAAACTGGTAACCTTTGTGTTATTTAGCTTTATTTTCTTTGTTGTAAACTATATGAAGCTGGTTACTTTTGGATATAACTCATAGACGCATATTTGAAGCCTCAAAAAAAATTTTGAATAAATTTTTTGCATAACTTTTGAGTTATGGATGTTTCAATTAAAAAAAAAAAAATGTTAAAAACAAGTGAACTTTTTATGTAATTTTTAATTAGCGAAAAATTAATTACGACATAATTTTTGAAGCACACCATATACTGGTTTGAAATTTTATGTGCAATTAGTACTTACATATGTGTGTACACTTCTCCAGTTTTGCCAGATTGGCTCCACTTTTCGAGATAGCGGTACTAGAAAATTTGATAAAAATTTAACTATTTTATAAAGAATTCCGTCAATTTTGAAGTGATCTCGATAATCGGAGTCAATCTGGTAAAACGGGGGATGCCATTGAATTAAGAACGTCCCAATTAAGTCAGTTCAACTTTCAAAACCTTTGCTCAAAATTTACATCTGCACAGCGTAATTTGAACCCAGCTTATTCTTTTGTTTTTCTATTTCGGCGATCTAAATGTCTATTCCTTGTCTAACTTTTGAATCGCTTGATGAAAATTAATTACACTTATATTTATCAATTTATTAAGAGATTACGAATATAATCATATATAAAACATAGGTGTGCCCACAAATAAAAAAAATAAAAAATATTTTTTTTTTGAAAGTGTACCTGTTTTTTAGATTTCCCCATATAATACGCACATATTTTGTGAGTTGTTAAAATTTTAAATTTTCGGACTTATCTCTTTTTGCATGCATATACATACATAAGTACGTGTACAAAACAAAAACCGAATGCCCGGCGAGTACTTTGTTACGATTCGTTGCACAATTTTTGTATTCATCACAAATTTGTTGGGATGGAAACAACACCTACACTACCAAAATATTTTAATCATATGTTTGTGATCTGACTATATATTTATGTGGTATTAACTGTCATTACCTC